CAGGAGGTGAGGCGGTCTGCGTGGGCTGAGGGCAGAGCGCTGTCCCTGCCTGGGAAGCGCCCAGCCCAGAGATCCTTATCCAGGGCAGGGACAGAACTGGTTTCCCGACTGGCAGCGCCAAGGGGGACAGGACAAGAGGAAGCCCCAGGGTCAGGAGGACAGTGTCCGGCCCAAGACCTGCCCAGGGGACCCCGGGGCAGTTACTAGAACATTCTCAACCCCCTCTGCAGGGGCCTCCCTCAGCCTTGCACGGGCCCCTTTTCTGCCCAGGACTGGTGGACGGACTTTCCTCTCTGTCCACTTGGAGGACCCCCCAGCCCAGGTCCCCCAGTGTCCCTCCGCCCATCTCGCCCAGGTAGAGTGGCCCAGCCAGGGGAAACACCTGGTTGGACTCAGCTCCTCCCTCCCCATCCCCACAACACGGAGGGCTCCCGAGGTCACCACGGGGAGGGGCAGGGGACCAACCAGGGGCAGGGGACCCTCGAGGGCTCTCCAAAGCCAGCTCCCTTTCATCCCCGCCACAAAGGCCAGCACCCCAGGCCCATCCATCTTGTTCCCGCCACAGTGCTCAGGCCGCTCTTTGTGAGGGACCTGGGGTCAGGGGCCTGGCGGGCGCGTCCCCCTCTCCCCCAACCCCGCCTCTGGGGCCTCCCCTGGGCACCTCCTCCCTGCCCAGCTTTCTCTCTTGCTTTTTTTTAATATTTTTTTTTCAGTTTTCGGTGGACACAACATCTTCATTTTATTTGTGTGTGGTGCTGAGGATCGAACCCAGCGCCCCGTGCATGCCAGGCGAGGGCGCTGGTGCTTGAGCCACCTCCCCAGCCTGTCTCTCTAGTTTTTGAATTCTCTCTGTCTCTCTGTCTTTTGGTTCTGGGGATTGACCCCAGGGGTGCTTAACCCCGAGCTGAATCCCAGCCCTTTGGATGTTCCACTTTGAGACAGGGCCTCGCTAAGTCACTGAGGCTGGCCTCCGGCCTGGAATCCTCCTGCTTCGGCCTCCCGGTGCTGGGATTGCCGGCGTGGTCCCCACACCTAGCGTTCTCAGTGTTTCTTGTTGTGTCTCCGTGTTTCTCATCCTCTCTTGTCCCTCAGTCTCTATCTTCTGTCCCTTGCAGGCTCCTAAGATGGTTTTCTGGGCCACATCATAGGCATGGAGCTGCTCTCTGTGCCAGGGACTTCAGGGACCTCAGTGTCCTGCTGCCCTAGGCCTCGGTCCTCTCTGCTCTCAGCTACGTCAGGAATCTCTGGGTTTCAACATCAGTGGGCCTCCCCACTCCCGCCTCTGCCACCCCAAGCTACTTATTCCAGTTTCTTCGAGGGGTGGGAGAAGAGGCTTTGTCTCTGCCTCAGTTTCCCCAAGATGCCACCGTAGATTCCCGCAGCCTAACAGTATCCCTGCTGTGTGCATCAGACTCCCAGCCTTGGGGGAGAGTCCACCAGGTGGCCTTCCCTCATCTCTGCCTCCACTTTCCTGGGCCTCCCCAGCGGCAGACCTTAGAAGACTTCGCCAGTGGCCAGGCCCAAGACTCTTCAGCATCTCCTGTGATTGGGCTCTGGGAACTTTGTGCTTCAAAGAAGAGAAGGGGACAGGCATGGTGGCACACGCCTGCGATCCCAGTGGCTTGGGAGGCTGAGGCAGGAGGATTGCCGGTTCAAAGCCAGCCGCAGCAACTCAGTGAGACCCTGTCTGTAAATAAAATATAAAAAAGGGCTGGGGATGTGGCTCAGGGGTTAAGCGCCCCTGGTTCAATCCCTGGTAACAAACAAACAAAGAGAACAGGAGGGGCTGCTCCCGAGATCTTGCAGTTCTGTGGGTGCAGGTAGGAGATGGGGTTCTAGAATCTTCTCCCGGATGCTGTGCAGAGTAAGGACGACGACTTAGTCCCGGGCTCCCAGGACTTAGGTAACGGAAGAGGAGCCCAGGAGGGCCTTGCAGGCGGGCGGGGAAGCTGGAGGGACTTTCTCAAGGTGGAGTCAGGCGGGCCAGCAGGGCAAGGTGCCCCTCCCTGATCTAATCTCCAGGCCGGGCTTGAAGCTCCCGTCATCCCAGGCTGCCTGCGGGAGAGTACAGAGGACAGAGCCCAGCAGAGGCAGGGACCGCCTGGGAGAAAGAAAGAGGCTCTTGGCCTTTCTCAGCAAGTGTCCCTCTGCCTGCTTAACAACTCGGTTCCAGAAAGAGACAAAGTCGGCGGAGAAGGAAGAGTTGGTGCTTTGGACAAACGCCAGAGGGACTGGGCCTGGGACCTGGGCTGCAGGGAACTGGGGTGGGGGGCACCGTAAGGTGGGAAGGGCAGGCTGGGGTCCATGGGGCCCGGGTGGGTCAGGTGGGAGTCAGGGATGGCTAAGGTGGGGGGAGGTCATGCGCACAGGAATGGGGAGGGCTCATGCCGAGGAGTCGGGTTCTAGACCAAACAGAAAAACTGGCACGCAGAAGACCCTCTCAGCAACCAAAGCCGGAAGCCCCAAGGCCATTGGGGGGGACACTGGGATGAACCCAGGGGTGCTCTACCCCTGAGCTGTACACCAAGCCTCCCCCCCTTTTTTTGAGACAGGGTCTTGCTGAGGCTGGGTTCAGATTGCGATCCTCCTGCCTCAGCCTCCCCAGTGACTGGGATTACAGGCACATGCCTGGCACTTGGCACCATCCACTTTTTAAAAAATCCTTTGATGGCTTCTCACTGCACTTGGAGTTAAATCAGAAACACTTGTGGGGTGCAGTGTCTCACACCTGTAATCCCAGTGGCTCAGGAGGCTGAGGTTTGCAGGTTCAAAGCCAGCCACAGCCACCCAGCAAGGCCCTAGGTAACTCAGCAAGACCCTGTCTCTAAACAGAACATAAGAAAGGCTGGGGATGTGGCTCAGTGGCTAGACGACCCTGGGTTCAATCCCTGGTACCAATCAATCAATCAATAAAACACAGCATAGCCTTCAGGTACTGCATGGTCCAGCTCCGCCCACCACTCCAGCCCCCCAGAACTCCTGCCAAGGGACACTGGTTGGACCCTAAGTGCTCCTCTGCCTTGGGCCTGTACCCTGTGGCTCCTCTGCTCTTCATTCCCTGAGTCCCTCCAGTACCTTCTCTGCTGACGTCTCTGCTCACCCCCAGTCTAAATGACAGCTGCTGGGTTCTTCTCTCTCCCCACCGCCTTCGTGTTCTTCAGGACACTGACCACATGTTCAATTATGCATTTATCTGGCCACTTACTATTACAATCTCCATCTCTCCTACTAAAGGCCCATTTTCCCCGACGACGAGCCCCATGAGGCCAGAGAGCCTGTCTTTTTATTCAAGTCCCGGCTCCCAGGACCTAGCAGGGTACCAGGCTTTTAGGGGGCTCTCAGGAAACAAACGGGATGAATAAATGAGACAGCCCCACATCCCCCCAAGCCTCTTCACGAGCGCTGGGTGCTGTGTCCCCACTCTGGCCCTCCATCCTCTACAGCGTGACCTTCCAGGGGCAGAAGCAGGCGGCCCTAGCCCCAGGGCACCCTGGTGTTGCAGGAGAGGAGACTCTTCGCTGACACAGAGGCCACGAAGCATGCCCACTGTGGCACTGGCCAAGGAGAGGCCACTCAGGGCCATTGTGCCGGGAGCTAAGCTCTGGAGACACTGAGTGCCGACGGGTCCAGGAGGCAGAGAACTTTTTTGAAGGAATGAATGCAGGAGGTGGAGGCCACGTCTCAAAGGCCTCTTTACCAGGCTGGACTTTATTCTGGACCTAAAGAGGTGGACTTCATTATTTATTTACTTGGGGGTGCTGGGGATGGAACCCAGGGGCACTTAACCACTGAGCCACATCCCTATCCCTTTTTATTTTGGGACAGGGTCCTGTTAAATTGCTTAGAGCCTCGTAAGTTGCTGAGGCTGCCCTCAAACTGGTGAATCTCCTGCCTCAGCCCCTGAGTCGCTGGGATCACAGGTATGTGAACCCATGCCTACCACGCCTGGTCTTTTTTTTTTTTTTTTTTTTTTTGATGTTGCCCAGGCTGGCCCCAAACTCATGGGCTCAAGTGAACCTCCTGCCTCAGCCTCCAGAGTAGCTGGGACTACAAAGCTTTTTCTACCATGCCCAGCTAAATTGCCATGGGGAGACCAGGGGTTGAACCCAAGGCCGTCCACCACTGAGCTTCATCCCCAGTCCATTTTTCTATTTCATTTGGAGACAGGGTCTTGCTAAGTTGCCCGGGCTGGCCTCACACTGGTGATCCTCCTGCTTCAGCCTCCCTGGTAGCGGGGACTGCAAGTTGGGCCACCGCACCTGGCTTACATGCAGATTTTAAGGCAGGGAGGGACAGTGGCAGAAATGGGCTTGTCTTGAGGAGGGCCGAGTGGCAGGGTGACAACCTCTTGCCCAGAGACCTAGCAGGAGCAGGGCCAGCTTGTGGGTGTGGATGAGCTTATCTGGAACCGAGTGGGGGACCAAGGCCAGGCCCATGGCTTGAGACCGGAAGAGGAAAGGGACAACTGGGGAGACGGACCGGTGTCACCACCGTGGAAAACATGAGAAGTTGGGTCCCAACCTGAGCGACTGAAACATGAATCCGGGGGAGGAGTCCGGGTCACTCACTGACCCCTGCTGCATGAGCCAGAGACAATTGTTTTTTTCAAGCTTTTTAATAAAATTAACAAATAAATATTCTAAACCCTACTGGCTACAGGAACAAAGAGTGGACGCCAGAGGGCCAGGCCTTGTCACTTAGACCCTCAGGTCCCCTCATAGGAAAATAAACTGCTGGGGACTGGGTGGGGGCTGGGACTGCAGATCTGGGGAGGGGCGGTGAGGCCGGAAGGGGTGACCTGGGCTCTCGCAATCCCTCCCTCTTTGTTGGCATAAGGGAGGGGTCAAGGGGTCCAAGAAAGCAAGACCCTGCAAGAGGCATCCCAGCCACCTCAGAGGTGACCTGGGTGAGGGACAGCTAGCCTAGGAGAGCATGGGGGGAAGGCAGTGCCCGGGGGCCGGGAAGCAGGGGTGGCTTGGGGGAGGGCGGGTCTGGGCCGCTCACTCTCGAACGTAGACCCTGGTGCACACCACGTCATCCGCTGTCATGGTCTGAAAGAACAGGAGAGGTTTTTAGCCTGGGAGAAGCTTGTGGCTTTGCAAGGGGAGGACGAGGGGAGGGTACGCTGCTTGCCCTGGGGTCTGGAGTTGCTTCTCCCCACCCCCCACCCAGGACCAGAAGGAGGGAGCTGGTCCCAGAAGGCTCTGCATCATTTGAGGGAGAAGGCAGTGCAGCAGGGTCTCATCCTCCTCCCCACCCAGGGAGAGCCCCCGGAGACTGCCAGGGCCCCTCAATGCACATCTTGTGCTCTGCACAAAAGGGACACCATTTCTTTTTCTTTTCTTTCTTTTTCTGTACCAGAGGTTGAACCCAGGGCTGCTTACCCACCGTCCCCTACCTCTAGCCCTTTTCTATATTTTATTTAGAGACAGGGTCTTGCTGAGTTGCTTAGCACCTCACTAAGTTGCTGAGGCTGGCTGTGAACTTGCCATCCTCCTGCCTCAGCCTCCAGAGCTGCTGGGATTACAGAGGGGTGCCACTGAGCCCCGTAAGGAGCCCCATTTCTAAGGCACGCTGTGTACGACAGGGGCAGCTTAGACCCATCCGAGCAGCCCCATCTGGAGGGCAGGGGACCAACCGTGTGTGTCCTTTCTTTCTAGAGCTTCCCAGGGAATCTCGAAAGGTGGCACTGGGTTTTCTTAGTCGGGAGGCGGGGACTTACCAGAATCAGCTCCCCGTCATTGGTCAGTTCTCTGGTCCACGAGGTCTTGGGGCCCTCTCCCTTCAGAAGTCTCTGCTCACAGACCATTTTGTTCTCGGTCTCCCATTTTACCAGGCTCTGCAAGGAACAGGTGACCAAGTGACTCAGACTGTGGCAGGAGCCATGCAGTGAGAGGAACAAGGAACGGCACCCCCTGCCGCCCCCATTCCCTAGGATCTCCTCCGTGGGGAGCAGAGGAGGAATCCGGGAAATCTTGGGCAGTGCCACGTGGAGGGACAGGGCAAGAGATGCCACAGGCTGGAGGACCCTTCCTGGCACTCACCTTACAGGGTCTCCCATCCACAGTCTGCTCCTCAAACTCCTCCCCGATCTTGAAGTTGATCTCCGTGGTGCGCACGGTGGTTGAGGTTTTGATGTAGAAAGTGTCTCCGTCCTGTTTGATCTCCACTGCTGGCTTGGAGGCTGCAGCCACCGCGATCTTCCTCAGCATCACATTCACCCCTGCAGGAGAGGGAAGGGGACAACTGTCACACACACACCCAGACAGCTGGAGCAGTGACCTGGGGCTTGACCTGGGGAGGCAGCTTACAGGAGATGCTGGGGGTGAAAGATGATAGGTTTAGGGAGGAAGGGCAGGGAAGGGTGCCCTGTTCTAGCTGTGGCCACACCTGGTTGAGTCAGCAGGCCTGACTGGGGCTTCCCAGCTCTGTGCCCCAGAATCTTCAGGGACAGCTTGTCTGGGCTCCCACACGGCAAGCCTCCTGCTGCAGGCCGCTCACCTCATCTGTCCTCTCACTGACCCTGGCTGGAGACCTCCTGTAGGGTGGCTCCTCAGTCACTGGGTGTGCCCTGCCCCTACCCCCACCAGGTCCAAGCGCAGGGCAGACCCAGGAACTAGGGACAACCTCCCTTTTTGCCCTAACTACCCACCCTAGCTGGAGCTAAGTGGTCTTTTTTTTGTCCAATTTCTGCCCTCCCCCTGCAAAACCAAAAAAAAAATTAAGAGCAGGGATTCTCAGCAGAGGGCGAGATGGAGGAGCTCTCTCTCTACAGAACGGCCTGCTACCAGCCTGGGGAGTCAGAGGCTCTGAAGTAAGATCTATTTGGCTGTGATTTTTCTCCTGGCACAGTCCCCCTCTTAGGCTAAGTAACCCTTGGTTTAACCTCTCTGAACTTTAGATTCCTTAATTGTAAATTGGAAATTATCCTCCTTGCAAGTTCTCAAGTAGAATTTGATGCATATGGAGCCAGGCGTGGTGGTGCACGCCTGTAATCCCAGCAGCTTGGGAGGCTGAGGCAGGAGGATCTCAAGTTCAAAGGCAGCCTCAGCAACTTAGTGAGGCCCTAAGCAACTTAGGGAGAACCTGTTTCAAAATAAGACACAAAAAGGGCTGGGATGTGGCTCAGTGGTTAAGTGCCCCTTGGTTCAATCCCTGGTACCATAAGAAAAAAAAAAAAAAAAAAAAAAGCATGTTTAGGATCTAGTATACATAGTGTCAGGCACACTTGTAAGTTTTCAGGAAATGAAGATGGGTGCATTGGCACATGCTTGTGATTCCAGCTACTCAGGAAGATGAGGCAGAAGGATTGCAAGTTCACGGCCAACCTGGGCAACTCAGCCAGACCCTGTTTCTCAAAATAAAAGATAAAAAGGATTGGGGATAATAGCTCAGTGGTAGAGTATCACTGAGTACCAAACAAATAAAAATAAAATAAAAAAGGGCAGCTCAGTGGTAGAGTGGCCCTGGGTTCAATCCCCAGCACCAAATACCAAAAAAAAAAAAAAAAAAAAAAAACTTCTTCAGGAAGTGATAACTATTGTTACTGTTTGTATTATTTTTTCTGATAAAAGAAAGGCTCCCCTCCCCCGCCAAGAAAGTCAGATCTTGGGCTCAAAGTTCCCTGCATTAGCCTCCCTGTTCCTTGGCCTTTCTGGAAGGTCCCCATGCCGCCTGGCCCTCAGGAGAGCTCCCTTCTCCCCTGAGAAATGAAAAAAGGGACCTCCATACTGATGTGTCACCTGCCCCTTGATCCCCCATGCCACCCTGGGATCAGGCCTTCTCGCTCAGCCTCTGTGGACTCTTTGGGCCCCCATATGCTTTCTCTCTTCTCTGCTCCCCAGTTATGAAGAGCAGTGGGGAGACAGGAGAGAGCACCCTTCAACAAGAAGCCAAGCTGCGGGAGCACCTCTGCAAGGACAGGCCCAGGTCCAAACCTTACACCCCACGCCCACTGCACACGGCCGGGTGGACTCCTCCATCTTTTAAGGATGCAATAGGAAGGGTCCACTCCCGCCCTCCTCCAGATCTGGGTCCTTTTCTCCAGCATCAAAGCAGATTCATCCTATTCCAAACAGAAGGAGAGGAAGGGAGGAAGCGCCTCAGGATCCCCAGAGCCCCACTTTTGGTACATTTCCAGGTCCAGTTGACTTTGTAGAGGAGACACACCCCACCCCATCTTCTTAGACAAAGAAGTTACTTTGCTATCTGTTGCTACCTAGGAAGTCCACCTGCGATCTCACTGCTATCTTTACTGCTGAGTAACAGAATCAGCTGTGCAGGCCTTGGCCATCATACTGGATGGTCTGGACAAACATTCCCCAAATACCTGAGCATCCCTCACCAGGAAATGGACAAGGGGATGGGAAGGGACATGGGGGCCTGCAGGGGCAGGGCTGGGTTCAGAGGAAGCAGCCCTCCAGCCAGCCCCTGGTGGCCATGGCGCTGGGCCTGGCCCAGTCGACCTTGGCTGACTCAGGACAGTGTTTTTCTAAGGGGTCTGTTTTCAATCTGCCCCCTATGGAGGTCTGAGGAGGGCACGTGGCTCTGAGAGACCCTGTGGGGAGAACAAACAGACTGAAGAGACAGCGGGACTGGGCTCTGGATCTCATTCTCCAGCTGGGGTCTCCACCTCCAGCCACTGGGGAGAGAGGGCCAGAATCCAGAGCAGCCAGGGGAGGGAGGGGCATCTGTGTTTCCAAAGGGAGAACTCCTATGCTCTGGTCTTCAATCTTATCAAGGGCAGAGCAAGAAGACTGATAGGAATATAAGAAGTATTGAGGTGAAGCTGGGCAAGGCGGTGCACGCCTGTAATCCCAGCAATTTAGGAGGCCGAGGCAGGAGGATTGAAAGTTCAAGGCTGGTCTGTGCAACTTATCAGACCCTCTCTCAAATAAATAAATAAATAAATGTGTGTGTGTGTGTGTGTGTGTGTGTGTGTGTAGATAGATTTATACACACATACATTTAATAATTAAAACCAGGCTGAGATGAAACTCTGTGGGTTTAATTCCTAACACTGAAAAAAAAAAATTGCAGTTAGATAGCAGTCAAAAGTAAGAGGAAGGAAAGATGGAAATCCCTGCTCTCCTCACAGCAATCCTGAGGTCCAGACTCGTTCCCACAGCCTGCGGCTCTTCAGGGAGTGACCTCTCCCCCACCTCAGCCCAACCAGGGTCTCTACTGGGTCCAGCAGTGGAAGGCACTCCTACCCTCGGGCTCCAGAGCTCCTGGCTCTCTTCCCACTTGCAGGGTCCCTTAATTAAACTCCAGTTCTTCCCGGATATAGCTCCCAGGAATCAAGCCCCGACTCTGTCCCCTTCCCCAGACTCTCTGGCCCAGTCCCACCCGGGACGATAGGCAGAAGGTGGCCTGGAAAATTGGCAGGCCCCTCTGGGTGCACTGGGCTTTCCCCACCTGTGACCACCACAGCCGGCTGGGCTGCAGTCCGGGAGGCGGGAACCGGATTTTCGGAAATGGGAGATTGGGGTTTCACACGAAGCCATTTGTTGAAATCCAAGAAAGTGATAATTATCCAGAGCGATTTTAGGACTCTGGACTGCTTGCTGTAGGAAAATATTTGTCTCACAGATGGGGGCGGGGTGGGGTGTTGAGGACAGCGGAAAGCGCAAAAGGGGGAGGGGGAGGGGGCGCTGGGGCAGCGGATCACCAGGTGGCCGGGCCGGCGCGGAGGGTAGAGAACCTGTCCCGAGGATTGGGTTACTGGCGGGGCCTTGGGGAAGGAGGCTGGAAGGTCTCCAAGGACCCAGCCTCCCTCCCAGAGCCAGGTGTCCCGGTCAATGAATGGGTCAAGGAGCCGGCTTGGCGAACCCCCTCCCGCGACCAACCTCGTGTTTCTGGTTTCTCCTTGATTCACAGGTTGAGTCACCGCTGGAGCTGGCAAGGGTGGGCGCCCCGCCGGAGAAAGCAGGATTTAGGTGGCCGGGCCCAGTGCCCCGGGGCCCAGGCGACCCGATGCCCCTTTCTCCGGAGGCAGGCGCCCAGGCGCTCGCGCCCTGACTCGGTTCCTTTTCTTTCCCGTCCCTACCTCTCCACCTCCGAGGACTCCAGCGACCCCCTGGCCTCTCCCGAGTGCTCGGAGACCTCCTTACCCAGCGCTTTGAGCAAATCCTCGAAGTTTTCCGATCGGATGATCTTCCAGTTGCCGGAGAAGTTGGGCATGGTGGTGGTGGTGCGGGCGGGGGTTCCCTCGAGAAGAGCCCTGGACGCTGAGTCGCTTTTAATCGAAATAGACGTCGCCGCCGCCTTCGCCGGAAGGTGAGACTCAATCACCGAGACCGTCCGAGGGCAACCCCAAAGCTGGCCTGGGCTCCCGCGCGGGCAGCTTTTATACCCCGCGCGAGGCCCGCCCCTGCCCAGGAATTAGGTGGCCCCGCCCCCGCTCCGCCCTCCCGCCCACCTGGGGGGCCCTGAGCCCCCGCTGCCAACCTCGCGTCTCGTTCCACCCTCCCACCCAGTCTCCTTCTAGCCCGGTGGGTGAGTTTTCTGGAGGCTGAGCTAGCCTCCTCCGCCAGCAGGAGGATGGCGCGGGGAATGGAAGGCGAGCGTTTGCATCGCGATCTCGGGCGGAGGAGGGGTCGCCAGATGCTCGGATCTCGCGTGCTGCAGAGCAACCGAAGGGTCACGTCTCGCCTCTTTCGCACCGGTCCCCAGCTTGACTCAGACCTGGACTCTCCCTCTTCCGTACTGATCCCCATGCCTGACACACGACGACCCCACTAGAATGAGCCCCAGTTTTTAAGCTAGAAATGGGGAAGGAAACGGGCAACCGAACTTGGCCTCCAGTGGAGCCCGAACTGATTCATTCGGGATAGTTTCCAGCTCCAGAGGCCTGGGGAGCCCTGGAGGTCGGTACAGCCCGGGGTTCCGGGGTCAGGCATCTGAGCGAGGCAACGGCGCCCCCTGCTGGAACGACGCGACCAGGCCCGGAGGGGGTTGCAAGGTCTCCCCACCCCGAGATTCGGCTTTGATTTGGGGTAGTGCCTGGGGACCCTCGAAGTGGGCGAAAGGAGGTTCACTGCTCTTAATGCACTGGACGGACATCCAGGGGTTAAGCGGGAGCCGGGGGAGCGAGGCTGGGGAGGGCAGAGGTCACCACCAATCACTTGACACGAGCTCTTTATTAAGGCGCTTTCTCTGCGGTTGCGCTCCCCCTGCCCGAGAGGGGCCAGGGAGGGGGAGCCCAGACAGAGGTGCAGAGTCTAGCTACCACCTAGGTTGGAGAAAAAGCCTGGGTGCCCAGGGAGGGGGCGGAGTAGGGTCTCAGGTGTCACCGTTCTGAGCTGTAAATCTGGCGGAAGGAGCGTCGGCCCCTTGGCGAACGACTTTGAAGTGGGAGATCAAAGGTGGGGGTGTGGGGCACAGCTTCCCGCGGAGACCCGAGGGGTAGTGACGAGACCCCTGGAGAGCGCCGCAGGACAGAGAAACCGAGCTGCGGAGAGACGGACAGCCTCGGAGATGGGCGCGGAGACCCGGGGCCGGAAACCGCAGAGGAGCTGAGCAGGACCGGTGCAGAGCCTGGAGTGGGAAGAACAACCCCTCCTCCAGCGCCCAAGGGCCCTGCAGCGCTCCTGCCCAGCTGCTTGCACCCCACTGCCCCCACACCCCATTTTCCAGGGCTCGCTCTTCAGCTCTTTCTAAGGCGGGACGAAAACCCCCACAAACGGTCCCAGCCCTATGTCCCTGCCTGGCCCCTCCTTGCCAGCGTGGCCAAGGGTGGAGCAGGAAGGCTGGCAGATCTCGCAGCCCTCACCCTTAGGACGCAGGAACAGTCCAGGGACCAGGGGGCTGTGCGGGGCTGGGGAGGAGATGGGAGGAATGGAACCAGAGGAGAGGCCTTTCGGTGTTCTGGGGATCGGGCTTCTGCGACAGAGGGAAATCTCACTAATGGGTGTGTTGAACTAAGCAGCAGAGGGATGGAGGTTGTGGTGCCAAAAGGACTTCTAGCTGCCCCCCCCCCGCGCAGTAGCGGATCACCCGGCAGATAGGGAGAAGCCTGTCTCTTCCTCTTAGGCCTGGTTTTAGAGGTCCAGGTTTTGTGTGGGAGAGCTGATTCCGAGGTGAGGTGGGTGTCTGGGCTTCTGGAAAGACAGACAAAACAGAGGTGGTGGAAGGAAGGGGGCCCCTGGGGAGGGCTTAGGGCCTGGGTTTGCAGGCACAACCGAGTTCCTCCCCCACCCTCCGGGTTCAGCGTCGCTGTAGGTAAAGGGAGGGAGGGGGATTAGGTTCTGACAGTGAAATCCGGCTCCTAGCCAAAGGGATGAGGACAGAGTGGAGGAGGGAACATGTCGAAAACAGACTCCTGCTGCCCCTCCTTTCCCCTCACTCCTCCCGTCTCCTCTCCGTCTCTCCCAAGGTCATTATGTCCACTCGGGTCCACTCTAGCCCCTGAAGCCCCCAGCTGGGAGAGTCTAGTCTCCTAGTGGGCATCCCTCCTGCAGAAGAGCCAGGGCAGCGACCCCCACCCCCTAGCCTTGTGACTAAGCATGTTGAAAGCTCATCCCTGGGCTGGGGGGGCGGGTAGTTCAGTGGTAGAGCCCTTGCCCAGCATGTTGGGGCCCCAGGTTCATCTCCACTGTAGCAAAACAAAGAAACATAAAACCTCACCTAAGGATGCCTAACCCTAGGAGGTATGTCCTCTGGTCCCTTAAGGCTCGCACAGGGGAGCACAGGCGGGATGGCTTGGCTGGGGAGGTTGGAGTCAGAGAAAGGGCTCCCTGGGGTGGGGGCAGGGAGGCCTGGGCCCACTCCCCTCCCCTCCCTTCACTTCCCCTCTCCCCCACAACCAGCCAACTGGCCAGGATTTCCAAAGAGACAGAAGTGAGACAAAGAGAAGTCGGGCTGGGAGGGGAATTCTTTCCAGATGTGAGTGTTTGCGGTTTGGCAGCTCCCGGCCTGAGCTCCAGCGCCAGCACCCCAACCCTGCTGAGGGAGGAGGGTAGAAGGTCCAGCGCAGGGTGCTAACGAGTTGGAGCTGGAGGTCTCAGCCTCTAGCAGCCCTATCACCCCAGGGGAACAGGGGGCACAGGAAGGTGTTTAGGGGAGATGCTGGGGAAGGGGATTGGGGGACAGACGGGGAGGAGTGGGAGATGAAAGGGGTGGGGGCCGGCCGGGGAGAGGGAACTAACAGAGATGGATGGGAGAGCCTAGGGGCAAGGGGCAGGGGCTTGGAACCTGGCAGTGGGGAGGACCGGGCCAGCATCAGCCAGTCACAAACAACTGGCTTTAATTTCCCGCTGGGATCAATAAGGAGAAGGAATTTCCCAGTGTCCTGGCCTTTTAATTACGACCAAATCTGCGCAGACCTGCCCCAGGCGACTCTTCCCCCCTTCCAGGGGCCTTGGTCGTGCCCCTCTTGGGGCTCCCCCAGGAATGTGGAGACTCTAGTGGGGGGAAGGGTTCAAAGTTGATGAGAAAAGCCGGGTAGGGGTAGCCAGGCGGGATGGGAGTGGAGAGGCAAGGAGACAGACACTTGGGAGGGTTAGCAAGGGCCACTGGGGAGCTTTGTTCTGTTGTAAAGTGCCTGGGAGGAGAGTTTTGCCCTGGCCAGCCAGAGTGGCGATGGGCAGGGTGAGGGGTGTGTGGGTGGGGTAGACGTGTACAAGATGGAGGGGTACAGAGCTTCTAAGAGGAGACACCCCCACCCCGCTCATCACTCCCTTGAGTCTGGGTGTGGGGAGAGGGACCACCCAGTTCAGCACTGGGAAGGGAAGGGTTGACTGCAGATGGCAAGAGTGGGCGAGTCCTGAAGCCCCCACCCACACCCCCAACCAGGACCGGGGAGATTCTCTGGCCAAAGTCAGCACTTGCAGAGAGCCTCACCCCAGCAGTGTTACTGCATCTGCTGGGTCAGAGGGTTTGCTGGCTGAGACTCAGGTAGAAATTAAACCCAGGTGGAGCTGGACACCTGGGGCTTGCCACTCAGCCAAGTGGGCTGCCAAGAAAGCAGGACTTTACAGAAGACAGGGAGGCCCGCGAGCCACTGGGACGAGATGGTTGCTGTCTCCTGGCCCCTGAGCCCTGAGGCTTCCGTGCCGCAGAGCACAGACTGCCGCATTCTGCTGCCCAGTCTGCTCTTGTCCTTTGTACAGAGGGGATTGAATCCGGGGCCCTCTGTCACTGAGCTACATCCCCAGCCCTTTTTATTTTTTTTATTTTGAGACAGGGTCTCACTAAGTTGCCGAGGCTGGCCTCAAACTTGCAATCCTCCTGCCTTATCCTCCCCGGGTCACTGGAATTATAGGCGTGGGTCACCATGCCCTGTGCCACCTTCTTACCTGTCTCTCTGGGTTCAGGAACCCAGCTCTTTTCAAATTTTGATTTGCATCCCACCTCCACCCCGCGGAAATTGCCATTGAAGCAGATTGGATGGGAGTTAGACCAACAAAGTCTCTAGTGACAGGAAGTGGAAGGGTCAGAAGACAGGGTCAGAGACCTAGAAGGCAACTCGTTTCCTAGAAACATTTGAGTACAGGAGATCCTGCGGACTAGGGAGGGTAAGGGCAGAGAATCCTGAGGGACCCAGAAAGAGAAAGTCAACTCAAAGACAGGGGATGACGGTGACCTCCAGGGCCAGCCTGGAGCCTGGCAAAGGGAAGCAAGTGCGGCCCAGGAGGGTCGGCATGGCTGACTGTGCTAAGGAGGGGCCGCAGGCAGGCGGAGAGGGTCCGCGCAGCCAGCACCCAGGCGGAGCCTCTGTTGCTCTTGGCTCGGTGACTCTTTCCCAGCCCCAGCTGCCAACGCTCTCCTCAGGGCTGGGCTGGGCTGGCTGAGCCGAGGGAGAAGGTGGGGACGCACTGCACTGGCTAAGGACATGTCCGGACTGAGACTCAGTCCCCTGGATGAAGACTGTGACCTGCAGTTAAACTCTGCTTGGCTTTAAGATCCAGTTTCTAGGGCCAGACCCCTGTGCCACTCCCAACCTCTGCCCCTTAACCCCTGGCAGCCCAGGGGCAGGAGGGACAAGTTGGGAGCCATGACAGGTTTGGCAGACCGGATGCCGGAGTTTGCATGGCACCTGGGAAAGCGGCCACCGTGGAAAAGATGCGCAGACTGCAACCGGCTGCCATCCCTGCCCAAGACGCTGCCATCTCCTGAGGATGGGAAATGGAGGGAGACTGGGGATCTGACTCTCCATCCCGTGCAGCGCTGAGATGATCTGGAGTTTTTGGAGGAAGAAGGGGTGGGGGAGGGGGCCGCAGGCTGGTGGGCACAGGGCCAGATATCCAGATCCTGGAATTG